AGGCGCGGAGGAGGAGGAGGAGGAGGAGCAGTAGTACTGCCACCAGCACTACCACTACTACCACTACTACTGCTACTACTACTACTACTACTACTACTACTACTACTACTGCTACTACTGCTACTACTATACTACTAACAACTCAGCAGTAGTACTACACAAGGACAACGACAACGACTACTGTTCTTGACGTAGAAGTAGTCGTGGTCGTAGTGGTAGTAGCAGCAGCAGCAGGAGGAGTAGAAGTAGTAGTATTAGGAGCAGCTGGCCCCAGCCAAACTTCAGCTCCAATTGAATGCGGACGTTGTGCGACTTGCTGATCTTTCGGCCCCGAAGCCTTACCCCAGAAGCACAGATTCCAACCTCTAGAACCTGCATACATCTCCATACTGTGCCGCCCTCGTATTATAAAGTCAATGCGCTTAGCATTCAGTTCGGTCGGTCGAAGTCCTGATCCTGGTAGGCAAAACCATAGCGCAGTGCAAGGCTGATGATGGCATCGGTATGAAGATGTTATTGGTCGTGGTAGTAACCACAGTCATGGCAGAAGCAAGTATCATTATCATGGCACCAACCCTCAATTTGTACTAGCAGTACTGATTCAGTACTGATAGGCAGTTATGCAAATTTACACCATTTGCAACCGGCGTAACAAGTAGAAGACCAAATAAACCACAAGAGTAATAAGCGAGGACTAGTGCGAAGAGTATGTTTAATTACTAACAGTACTAACAATGCCACGTGCCGATTAGCTACACGCAACAAGAATGATAATGATAGCCATGAAAACTACGGAGACCAGTTGCCATAGTGGTAAGCATGCCCGTTCGAAGTTTTTACATCGACCGTGTCCTGGGTAAAGTGATCTTAGCTGTACTTTGCAAGTCTTTTGCCCGCAACTCTCCAGCAGCTCCGTTGAAGTCCAATTTCAACCCCATAAACCCTGAAATCCAAAACCCCGAAATCTCTTTTCTCGAATTGAGCCCAAAGCCCCTAAACTCTACTGAGGCGTGAAAGGTTCCAAGGCCAGAGCGGCGTCGAACTCTGGCACCGATACTTGGGAGCTGCGGCATCTTCTGGATGCTGGGCTCCTTCGCTGGTTCAGCTTCGGGCTTTGCAGTTACGGGTTTCTTGGTTGGTTCACGGTTTGATCTTTGCGGTGCCGTGCGGTCCGGTAACCATGCCAGTAGCAACTACCATACCCTCTGTACCCGATTTGCTTAGGGTAAGCTATCACAACTTAATTTGTTTCTTTTGTGAGTGGACAAATGGTTCATTGAATGTGGTCTGTCGGTCTGCATGGGCTCTGCTAATTGGTGCAGATTGCCCGGCTAGCTAGAGGCTTGCAGAAATTCAGACATTTCACAGCCTTATGGGCATGCGGTCTTGGAAGCACTTTCACTGCAATTATTCGAACATGCTGGCGTTGCCCATGCATGATAATTACTGTTGGATATCTCGCGTAGAAAGTGATGAATCTTGCAACAAAGCGTGGCGATCCTGAAGTCCGGAACCGAGCATGTAAATCAGCAGCAGTCGGCTTAGGGTGAGACTTTGTTTGCCCTTCTGCTTGGAAATGCGGAAAGTGGCGCAAGTGGGTAGAGATTTGTTGAGTACTTCATGTGCTGCTCTAGTTTGGTTGCTGATGATGGCGACCATGGGGTTCTCGGTACCATAGCAGTTTAGCCCGGAATGCGTAACCCTACGACAAACACCCAGAAGTCATGAAACCCAAAGCCTTCAACCCTGTAGGACCCATGACATCCCTGAACCCACACCCTGAGGAGGGTCCAATTGCTTAATGACCGTATACTCCCGAGATATGAACAAACCCACTACCGTAGACCCAAGATAGTGTCTCCTTGTACTCCCTTTCTAGTTAGTTCTGTATAGCACGACCCAAAGCCGCACTCTGATACTTAAGGCCCCTATATAATTTGGATCTTCGGACCCTTAGGGTGAAGCCCTAAATGAGGTTTACGGTGCAGCAGTTGAAGCTGGCTGGCATGGGCGTCCCACCGCTGAAGGCGGCTGCGTTCTCCGCCCAGGAGCCGGGGCTCGGCTGGGGCTTTGTAGGGCTGATACGGTTTTGGATTCTCTTACGGCTCCTTCTATCTTACCGTAGATGGACCAACTCCTGCATGGCTGAAACTCCTTGACCTGTGGATATTACGTGTGAGAGGAGTGGCTGCCTTCGCGGACGCTGCTTCAACAGTTCCCCTGAAGCCTGAAGGGCCTGAAGTTTTGGATTTGAGGCCAGTCTTAAATTCTACGATGATCGACCCCAGCACTCTCCACATTATTCAGGCCAGTAAGACTATGGCTTAAGGTTTACGGCTCACCCTGTCCAAACCCTAATGGGAGTTTCCGGAAATAAGGGGCACCTTATTATGGGGGTCCTTATAACAAGGATCCTACTATTTAGGGTACTATATTCAGGTCCCCCATTTTCGGAAACCCCCCAATCCCCTGCCAAAAACCCTAAACCCTAAAACCTAAAACCTAAACCCTAATCCCCTCATCAGGAGCTACGAGCTGAAGGGTACACGTTACCAGAGCTCAACTGCGGCTTTACGATCGCCGAGCTGAAAGCTGCGGGCGTTTCCGCTGCCGAGTTTGTGGCGGCCTCTTGGCTTTAGCGCTTTTCATGGGGTTTTTGGGGTTGGAGCAAGAGAACAGCTGCAAAAGAATCAGGGCCTGACCCACGCATAGAAGCTCGAAGCCCAAAGCCCTGAATCTCAAACCTGCTCAAACACCTCCGCACTGAGTGAAGCATGTGGAGCCAAGGCACGCTACCACGCCCAGAGCCTCCGTGACGCCGGTTTCACTGCTCAGGAAGCACAGTTGGGCTTATGGGGCCTATACTGGACGTAGGGTGATTTGGAGGTTCGGGCTAAAGTAGGCTGTTAGGCCTTTGAGATTTAGAGGTTTTGGGGCAAAGGGGGTTTAGATTTAGATCTTCTCGATTATACATCGCAGGTTTATGGCTGGGGTTCGATACTGTATCTGGGACTATCAGGTTGCACCCCTTTGCCTGAAGACGTCACTGGGGAAATGCGACAGACTACGAGCGGCCAGAGTCATGAAAAAGCTAAACCTAAACCTTTGCAAACTCAAAAAACCATTAGCCCGAAATCCCGAGACACTCCGAATCAAGACTTCCGCCCTAGTCACCTAGTCACAGAACTGCAGGAACCCGACATCCTTTGAACCCTAACACCAGTTAGGGTGTAGGTGTAGGGGTTCTCGGGGTTAGGCCGTAAGCCTAGATTGATCCTATTAAACTGAAGATATCCGACAATGCGTATATAAACCCTTCTCAGTCGCCACAATCGAGAAGGCAGCTGAGGAAGCGGGGGTTTCGACTGCCTTGGCAACGGTTTAGGGTTTAGGGTTAGAGTAGTGGAGTCGCAGCTTCTGCCGAAAAGGCACTCAAAGATTGGCATATGTCTTGTGAACCCCTTGTGAACCCGCGAAAAATTGGACCCTTAAAGCATGCTCATAAAACGCACCCCCAAACCCTATAAGCCCATAGAGCCCCCCCTAAAACGCCTTCGCTCATCCCGCTTGGGAGGATTTCAAGGCCGAAGATTTCCGGGCTGCGGGCGTCACGGAGCAACTCCAGGCACGGTTTAGGGTTTAGGGTTTAGGGTTTAGGGTTTAGAGCCTTTGTCTTTTCCTAGGGCTCCAAATGATCAAATAGTACCTACTTTGGGGTTTAACCTCTGCAAATGGTACCTACATTGGGCTATTTGGAGCCCCAGGGTTTGTAATAGAGCTTAAACATCGTGATCCACAGATGCCCTTATGGGACCCTTAGAGTACCCTTATAGAACCCTTGCGGGGTGCCCTTGTTCGAAGTTGTGTCTATTACAGGGCTCCAACATCACGATGCCCCGTGAAGGTGAAGGTAGCAAAACACATGGGAAACCCTGGCATTCAACATCGTCCATCCATGTTTTAACTTCCGGGAGGGATTGCAGGATCTATAGGGAACCATATTTATAGGGTGTTTAGATCAGGTTTCATAGGGTTGTCATAACGGGGTATATGTGTCTTGCTAGTAGGGTTTTATGGTCTTTAGAAGAGGCTTCTTAAACCCTAAAACGTAATCCGTTGCCCAGGTCGTTGGCTTCACTGCGGCGGAGCTCCGCTTCGCGGGCTTCACGGCGCCCGAGCTCCAACGCTCCGGCTTCCAGGCCTCCAAGCTGACGCCGGGCCATCACTCTTTCGGGCCTGGGGTCTTTGGGGTTTAGGGTTTAGGGTTTAGGGTTTCTGGTACTGTAGGGTTTAACGCACCTAGGCCTAGGGTCTTTAGGGGTAGGGTTTAACAAACCCAGGGTCTAGGGTCTTTAGCGTTCAGGGTTTGGTAGGGTTTAACAAACCCAGGGTCTAGGGTCTTTAGGGTTTCGGGTTTAGTAGGGTTTAGGGTTATGGGCTTAAGGGTTTAGCGTCTACAGGGTCTAGGGTCTATAGAGTTCATTTAGGGTCCATATGGGTTCAGTTCATCATATGGGAGCCCTCCTTGGGGTCCCTTAGGGTTCCTTGAGGTAGCTGTGTATCATATACAAGTTCCAAAATTCATGCTTTAGAATAGGGTTCCTTACGGCTCTGTAATATAATGTAATTATAGTATCATGCGCAGGCCTGCTTTCATTTTTATAGGCTTTCCATACTCCAGGGGCCCTAGTAGTTAGAATGGGGTTTCTTAGGGTTCTTGAATTTGTAGCTGTCGGACGAATTGGCAATGTTATCCCCCGTACTCTGTATACAATTTGTGTATACTATGCCGAAACACCCTTGTCTAACGGCTAAGGCTCCCAAATTTGCTGTTTCATGGGGCATGAAAGGAATTACTGAGGTTGCGGAGGTGTTTTGCAAGGTCTCTAGGATTCCTCCTTGTGTGAGATACGCCTGAACCAAAGCTTAGACGCGGTTTTCTTTGTCGCTTGCTTCTGGGTTCAATGCTTGGGGTTTAGAGTTCAACTGTTTAGGATTCCGCTCTCGGGAGTTTGCACTAGGGCCCCTTTCTGTTTCTGGTGCTCCCCTATGTAGCCTCCTAGGCTCTTGGTTCCTTCTACACAAGGTCAGTGCATACTTATATGGTAGCTTAGATTTTGCTTAGATGAAGAAGGACCGTAAAGTGGGTTTCCTGAAAGAGGTGTAGCATTGGGGCGCCCGAAAAACAGCTACGAAGGATTGAGCCTTTAAGACTTTAAAGACATGCTGCCGATCCTCCTTGCTTCATGGTCTGTTCTGCCCACTGGCGGTGATGGCCCGCTAGTGTGCAACCCTGCAGTTGGATATCGCTACATCTCCATAGGGGCTGCTGGAGGAATTTCTGCTTCTGGCTGTTCTGCCAGCTGGGATTTGTATGAGGTCGAGGCCTTCACAAGCAGTGGGCAGCTGAACCTGTTTGCGTCCTCAACTTCGGGCTGGGACAGTAGCCACTTGCCCGGCAAGGCTGTGGATGGTGATACGAGCACGTTCTGGGCAGGCGATCACGACGTGGGACTGAGTTGCAGCTGCTGGGAAACCTCGAAGAAAGACGGCCAGATACTGACTATCGACCTGGGAAGCATTCAGCAGGTAACACGGCTGAAGCTGTACCAGGGAGGCAGTGGCACCTTCTTTGCGGTGAACCGGGTGAGGCTGCACTGCCATGAATCCGTGGACTTCTCATCAGCCTCGGTCGAACCTCTTGAGGTAGAGGTGTCGACGGGCGTGACAACCATCGAGTGTAGCGACCGAGGCTGTACGACCGACCTACAGCCTGCGTACTACGACACCTGTGCATTGCTGGCCGACACCAGCGATGCCCAGCTGGCCATGGGCCTTGCAGCAGCCGTGTCTGGAATTCTGCTGCTCTGATTGCTAGGCTTCTCTGCTCAGGACGGTTGTAGCAGTGTTCCAGTCAATGCCCCTGGGTTTCACTCGGTAGCATGCGTCCTTCACCCCGAAGGGGGATCGGAGGGGGAGGTTTCTGATGAAAGGCGAAGATGCCTTGCCGAGCCTCTTCCGGGTTGTCTTTCCTTTGCCTGTGGTGCTTCTGCGAAGTCTGACCGACCACGGCACCTTCACGCATGAGGGGGCCACATCGGCTCCATTTGAGGCTTTCTTAATAGAGGCCTTATCACATCCCACTAAGTCACTAGTCTAGAATGGCTCCTCAACAGCAACCTCCTTCAGCAGCCCCTCGCAAGTTTGGAAAGGGCCCCCCTCAAAAGCACCCTCCGCACCCTCTCAACATTCATTCGAAAGCCAAGAACCGCCCCCCACAGCACTCCAAGGAAAATTGCCGGCTTTTCGACCGAAGAAGTTCATCCCACAGGCATCTCCGCGAAGCAGCTCCTGGCAGAAGGCCGAAAAAAGCATCCCGGGATGTTGATAGGTTCGGCGGGATTTAGGGCTTTGGGATTCAGGGCTTAGTGCATAGCAGTCCCTGCTCAAAAAAAAAGGATGCTCATTTCATGTATTGGGTGTTGGGGTTCGGGGCCCGGGGCACTTGAAGCTTGAAATTTAGATGTGGTGTGTCGTGGTTTTGCGCTTAAGGTTCAGGTCTCAGAAAGCCCACTGCCTCGAATCGGCTTTCGTTTGACCATACAAACTAGACGCAAAACCCTGCCTTCAACTTCTACCCTAGACCACACATTTCCTTCGCCGCTCTCCTTCATTGAAGTAACATGCCTTCATTCGGTAGTAGTCACAGGCCAGGACGGCTGGCGTTAAGAAGGCTTCTTTTCTGAACGTATCTTACAGGAGGTCCGAAAGAACTACCTATAACCATTGGATGTGATGTATATAATGTGCTGAGAGCAGTAGGGGCGATATACCGCCTTAATCACAGTCCCTAGATAACTTGACGGCAAGGTACCCGAAACCCTGTTCCGATTCTTGGGGACCCTACGAGGAGTCCCATGAAGCGTGGTGAGGCCGTTAAAATTCACACAAGCCTACCCATCTAGGATTAGCGCTTGTTTCAATGTCGTCCATATGACGCGCTTCAACCGATTTAAAACTGTTGTATAACTCGCAATGTCTATTATATTGGTCAATGGCTTGAACTAACATGAACTAACTGTCCTCCGACGGTGCATCTATAACGACTGAAAAATCCATGTAATCCCGTTAATGGTCGTAAAAACTGCGCGTCAGTATCACCGTCGTTTTGAAGATTAGCAAACAAACGAATACTTGATAAATCTAAATACGTTCCATCTTCACCTGTAACGTAAAACCCAATATGTTTATTCCCTGTAGCGCTCGTGTAAATATTACTNNTACTACCTGATGGAAAATAATTAACGTGTCGTCGGTCTGTGACATACTGCGCGGTTTTAGGTAATCCAAAGTCTAATGCTGGACTCATTACATCACTCGCTTCTGCTACTAAATTATCCATTATATAAACTAGATTAGATATTTTATTTTTTAATATATTTCTTTTTGTTTGATGCTTCGGGCGGTAAAATCTTTTTTGTTGCCTTGTAAACCACCTCGAATGTATGCTATAAGGCTACGAGGCCGCTCTAACCCCCTCAAGAAAGCTGAAGTGTGGGGTTTGTGGATTCTAAAGACCTCTGAGCTACGTAAGTAAGGTCAGCAATCAGCAAAAGGGGACCTTGGAGATTACTGTATACCGAGCGGAGGGGAAGGTTAAACCTACTCAAACCACTACGGGACTGTGTAGGCAAAGCTAATCCTGACATCAGGTTTTCTACCTGCAAGAAACTGCGCCAAACCCAACCTCGAACCCAGAACTCTATGGATGTGTGTAGACCGTAGAGGCTTTTTCGCTGTCAATTGGCTGTCTCATTGTTCCTGTGGAAGTGCGGGAGCAAACCTACACCCATCTACACCCTATAAATCCAAAACCACAATAACTACCACAAGCCTTAAGTAGAGTCGACGGCCTTTTGACATTAAAGGCCGCAGCGGCAAAGACCTTCGCGATGCGGGCTTCAGTGCTTTGGAGCTGAAGGCTCGGACCTATGTGTGAGTTTAAGGCTCAGGGACTATAGGGTGTAGGGTTTGGGTTATGGGTGTGTGTGTGTGTGCTCTTCTCAGATATTGGATGAACACCCTCCTGCATGCGGGATTCAGGGTTTCGGAAACGGCCAAAAGAGCCACATGAACATAAAGAGAGGCGTGCAGAGGCTAGTGCAGGTTACGGTATGAACTCGCGATCTTTACGAGGAAGCCAATGCGCAGTTTAGCGATGCCTCGACGCTGACGCTGGGCTCTGCATGCTTGCCACAAGTTTTCAGTTCAGACTAGTCTTACGCCCCGGCCGGCCCCAAACCCTCAAACACTTCAGAACCACCAAACCCTCAAGAACCACTAGAGAGACGCTCCACAGCCGCACACTCGCTAAACCTTACCCAATCTAGACCCTGAGCCCCCGAAGCGCCGAAAAGCCCACCGCAATATAAGGGGCCCCAATAATTACCTATATTATTTTGGGGGCTTCTTATTATCTTTTTTCCATAATGGGCCCCAAAACCCTATTCTAACAATTTCGGCCCCTAAACCCTAAACCCCCTCCTAGTACCCTTTAAAGGAGCCCCAAAACCCTATTCTAACTATTAAAGGCCCCTTTTTTTTAAGACGAGCCCAGGAAAGCCCTGGGCTACTCGGCCGCGGAGGTCGGCTCGGCCGGCTTCTCCGCTCTGGCGCTGCTGAAGGCTCGGTACACGTATCCCGAGCTCCTTGGGTGGCCTTTTGTTTTATGTACTATAGTTTAGGGTTTAGGGTTTAGGGTTTAGGGTATGTGTATATGTAAATATTGTGTATCCCGAGCTCCTTGGGTGGCCAGCTTGGGAGAGGGAGGGAGGTATGTATGTACTATATGTACTGGCATGTGTTTATGTAAATATGTGTATATATAATTGTTATATATATATATACACACATACGTATATGTATACATTTGTTTCTGCCCGTCCACATTATGTGAATAAACATATATATATATATATGTATATATATATATATATGTATATGTACATATATATATATATATATCTATGTGTGTGTGTATGTGTACATGTAAAGACGAAGGGAGAGGGAGAGGGGGAGAGAGAGAGAGAGACAGACACAGAGAGAGAGATTCACATCGTGTGGCGTATACATACATGTATATTAAATATATATATATATATACATATACATAACATACGTGCATACATACAGACCAAGCATGTTCAAAAAGACAACCCACAGAACCCCTGCACATTCCAAACATTGTTGCTGATTCCATCGGGCTTGAAGGTTTTCTGATGCATGGTTTGGAATCTCGGGTGTGTAAGGATCTCCCCGGTGGCAGTTTGGGATGATTTGTAGCGGCCAGTTAGGGTTTAGGGTTTAGGGTCGTTAATTTGCCAACCCAATCAGCCCGAGTCGACACCTTGGTCTTGATATTTCGCAGCGCCTGGTCTTGTGGATTGTTTTTGGGTGGTCCTGCAACTGCAACTCAGGCTGGCTCTAGCGGGCATCACCGGCAAGCAGCTGAAAGAGGAGGGATGCCAACTCCGGGATTTGACACTCAACCCTTCCTGAGCATAGTTTTACCTGAGTTCAGGTTAAAGGAACACAAAACATGTATGCTGATTTTCTAGACCGCTGAACCCTAAACCCTCCACGAGCCATGAGCGTAAATAGACCCAAACCCCGAAGTCCCTGAAGCCCGAACTCGAAATGACACCCGAACCTTAAAATATAGAAGCCTTCAACCCCAAACCCAAAACCCCTAATGCCAACACTAATCTAAGCGAGCATAGTATGTATATATATATATATATCTACATAGTAATGCGATAACATCTATATATATATATATTTATATTTATATCTACTTATTTATATACACATATACATATATATATATATATACACACATATATTTATTTAGTTATTAATTTATTTGTTTGTGTGTTTATTTGTTTGTGTATTCTGAGCATAACATAATAATTAATAGTGTATAACTAACGAAAGCCAAGGAAGGCCGTGGGCTTCAATGCCAAGCAACTGAGAGAAGCCGGCTACACGGCGCAGGAAGCCTGGCATCGCCAGAAGCACCCGTTTACCCCCTTTGTGTTTTTTGCGGGGGCTTGGGGTTGTCGGGTTTAGGGCTTTGGGATTTGGGGTTTTAGGGTGGCGTGGGTTTTAGGATGTTTTGGGGTTTTGCTTCAGGCTTTAGGGTTTCGCAGGTTCTGTGTTGTTGGACGCGCAGAGTAGTAAGGAGGGTCCGGCAGCAGTACCCTTATTGTCTATTGTCGTGAGGCAGGATAGCCGCTTCGGGGGATTTATGAAAACGGTGGTGCCCTTTGATTGATTTTGATTGACAGGAGATACTCTTTTTGGTGTTTGGGGGACCTCGAATACTAGGAAAAGGGTACACCCGTTTGTTCGTTGCTTTTTGTTTTTTTGCAATTTTTTGATTTGGGGATTTTGGCTTCTGTTGCTCGTCTTAACAAGAGGCGATTGATTAGAAAAATAGAGTTCCTTAGGGCGCCATAAGATTATGTTTTCTATTTTTTGGTGCATAATATACATAGTATAACATAATAGGTATTTCAAGACTTCTTAACTCATTAGCAAAACCCCGTATTTTGGGGGGAGCCGAGGAGATCTATGCCGTGGGCTTTGGGAGTATCGACCTCTCCATGGCAGGATCCCTTCTATCACAAATGGGGTGAGTTGGGGTCGAGGGCTTAAGGGTTTTGGGGTTTCTGTTTGAGGGCGCCGATTCAGGGTCGAATAGCGATTCTTAGGTGTTGCGGGTTTAGGGCGTTTGAGTGAACAAGCAGGAACAGCGCTTTGTGATTGTACAGTTTTACTAATTCTTCGCATTGTGGAAGTCAGTGTTCAGGCGATTGCACAAGTCCTGATGCAAAAAAGGGCGTTTGGGTAGTCAGCCCGAAGGTGGATTGTAAGAAGAAGATTGTTCCTGTAGACAAGATTCAGTTTCAAGATTGCTGGTGTCTCATGACCATGAAGACCTTGGGAATGCAGTTTGCCGGCATACACCCAAAGCCCGATGTGCATTTAGGGATTCCGTTTGGAGTTTAATTGCGGCTCAGGGTTCAGGGTTTAGGGCATTTGTGTTCGAGGGACATTGGCCGGGCGAGCTCCAATCAAGCCCGTGTAGGGGCATTTGTGTTTCGGGTTTGGAACAAGGATTCGGTGCTTCTGCAAGTCAGGATCCTTGCAAGAGACCAGGGTGACCGAAACAGTGCATCGTTAATACCACTCTTCCACCCCCCTGAGGCCCGCAAGCCCAAATCATAAACGCTGTAGACCCTGCAAGGGTTTCGGATTTAGGCCTTTCGTGCGTACTTAGCCTTGGGCATCTCGCCATGAGTGCGATGTGCTGCGGGGGACATTGGCCGGGCGAGCTCCAATCAAGCCTGTGTAAAAAGGCTCGAAAGGCCTACCTCACCCCGCAACTCTCAGCACCCGAAGTTAAGCCGAAGCCGAGGAATCGAAGGGCCACAGTTCCGCTAGGCGGCTGGCGACCTGATGGTAGGAGCCCCAGTAGTGCCCTTTTACCGTTTGAATCTTTGGGGTCTCTTATTGAAGCTGAACAGCGGAAAACAGCCGAGATTCCAAAAGGGCATACCGGGGAACATCGCACATTTTAAGGGCTGAAAATACTTGGGTCCAGGGCCTAAAACGGGTCCCGACTCGCCAATGGCATGTATCCAGCAACGTGTTGCGGTTTGCAAGTGTGTTTCGCACAAACGTGCGTTGCACGTTTTTGTTGGGCCACCCTACGAAGAAATGCACGGTGTCCTCTGCTCCAGTGTTCGGTGCAGCTGCGACATGCTACCGACTCCCCAAACACTTTATACAACTCGAAATGTTGCCGCACGAAGCCAGCACAGCCGCCGAGGAGACACTACTGGAAAAGGTGGCATGATTGATCCAGTCATACCGTCACGATCACCGCAGACACCATCACACACAACAGGCAGCATGGCACCAGCAGCAGCAACAGCGGTGGCACAGACGGCAAGGCAATGCTGCAAAATTCAAGACAGCAGCGACTGGCAATAACAACATCCAGTTATAAGGTATAATTTCATCAGGATCAGTCCCATTCAGTGGGAGCCATGTCATGAATAGCAGTACCTGTGCCAAGACGAACAGGGGCGGCAGACACTACAGCCACAGAATTCTGCGCAAAGGACTAACATTGCTACAATGATGGCGGTAGCATTGGCGAAAGTGACCATAAAACCCGACAGCGATTTGTCGGCTTCTGAGCCATTGAACGTGAGTTTGATGTCATACACTGAAGCCCTCGTTTTAATTCATAAAGGCCCCTACATTCCTACATTCTACATTAGTTGGGGGTTGTGTGCCCCGAAAAGCACGAGTCGCAGCTGCCTCTGAGTAGTCGCCCGGCTTCAACTCCCTGCAAGGGGAAAGCAAAGTTGGGCCGTGTTTTGGAGCTTTTGGACACATTCATGGGGAGAGAGAGCTTATTTTTGGAAATCCCATATGAGGTTTTGGAGCCGTAAACCTGCCGTCCAATGATAATGTTGTTTTTGGTAAATCCCACAACCCTAGAGCCCTAAACCCTAAAGCCCCAAACCCTGAAACCCTAAAGCCCTAAAACCCTACAACCCCAAAACCCCAAACCCTAAACTTAACAAGAGTTGTTAGAAAGCAAGGCTCGAGGGGTTCTCAGAGAACGCGGTACGGTACACTGAATTATGGAGAACGCGGTACACTGAACAATGAAGAATACATATAAATTATAACTCACAGCTATCTGTCGGGGATCCATGCATCTATAATTTGCAGGATCCCCCGAAATTCGTAGAGATGCCTTGTCAGTCCATGTGACGTGACACGCAGGCCAAAAGCTGAACCGAAAGGTTTGTGGGGCTTGTTGTCGGTTATTAGACAGGTTCTTTTGGGGGGTTTGGGGTCGCTGACAGGTTCTTTTGGGGGGTTTAGGGTCGCCCTGCCAAGGGCTGTTAAGGGTTCTTTTGGGGGTTTAGGGTCGCTGTGAAGGGCTCTTAAGGGTTCTTTTGGGGGGTTTAGGGTCGCCCTGCCAAGGGCTGTTAAGGCTGTTAAGGGTTCTTTTGGGGGTTTAGGGTCGCTGTCAAGGGCTCTTATAAGGTTCGTTAATCTTCTATGTGAGTGGCAGGGTGTAGGGCTACTCCGGAGTGGCACTGTGAATGTTACCCCGGCCACACCAAACTCTAAGAGACTCTCGTCTTCACAAGACTCCCTTGCAGTCTGTAGATCTGCGAGGGGTGGCAGAGTGCCTAGGTTTGTTTGGCTTCTTCCGAAAATAGGGGACCCTAATATAGCACCCTAAATAGTAGGATCCTTACCATAAGGACCCCACAACTGAGGTATCCCCCTGATTTTCGGAAAAACTCCCATTTTGGGCTTAGGGCAAAGCTTAGGGTTTCCAAGAAGCAGCTCTCCCCCTGAGTCGTCCAAGTCACTTCGGGCCGGACGAAAGGACGAAAAGATCTGGACACTGCCTTCAGGTTTTGGGATTTGGGTTTAGGGTTTAAATATGCCTTTAGGCTTCGGGATTTGGGGGTGGGGAGTCTTTGAAACTGTCCTCAACTTGAAAACCTGCCCTCTCCCCCTCAAAAACGGGATGAAATAAAGCCCTGAAGTTTTGCGAGGTTCATTACAAGAGTTTAGGGTTTTGTATGAGGTCGGGTCGAGTGTCGCAATTGCAGTAGCAAAATTCACTTCTGGTCCCTACATACTTGTTCCGTAAGTGTGGCCCAAAGCCTGGTTCTAACAAGCTACAGCCCTCGCTCTAGAACTCTTAAAGGAACCGTGTTCCTACATTAGAGCAGCCCCCATGCTACCTGAAGGGCTGGTGGTTGTGTTCTCGGATGAGAGTTTTGGAGCCTCCAGTCAAGGAGTCGTGGCTTAGGCCTTGAGGGTTTAGGGTTAAGGGTTTCGATGTGTTTTGGGCTCGAGTCTGAAGGTTGCCTTTGTGGCCTGAATACTGTGGAGCAACGAACACACAAGCTAAACCACCCCCCCCCCCTGGGCCGAAATCTGTACGATATCAAGGCCCCTACTACGATGGGTTTCGGCTCTGTCGATCTTCAGGGTTGAGGGTCTTGGGATTCTCGGTGTGATAGCGGTAATGCCTGTCTTTATGTCAAAGGCTGTTCGGTTTCTTTGGTATATGTGTGCTGCTGAGTGTTCCAGGCTAGGGTGTTGTGGGAGTCCTGTTACATGCAGTAACGTCCGCTTAGAAGGTTTGAGTAGGTTTGTCAGCTGGATCGGCGGATTTGTCTCAAGGCGCAAACCATGACATCAAGCCGATAGAAAAGCACTCCAACTTCAACTAAAACTCAACGTGGAGTTGAAGCCCTGGTCCATCAGTGTATCCCAACCCCAGCATGCGCTGCGAGCTCCAGTGACTTTCCATCAGCCTGCAAACCCAAAATGATTTCGGCCGCTGTCTCCTGCAGCTTGCCTAGATGGGAGCTTCAATGCAGCACATTGGGTTCTCACTTTAAGGGTGCCACACCAAAAAACAGCACCCCCTCAAGACAAAGAACCACCCCAGAATTCGGAAGACGCTGCATCGGAAGCAGATGCGATTGCTTTCCGAGCTTGTCGTCTCATGGGAAAGACGCCGCACCCCTGGCAGCAGATCGCAGCTGCACGTGCTGCCCATGAGAACATCATTGTCAGTGCCGAGACAGGCGAGGCCCAATCGCTGCGGAATCCTTTCAGCAAACCCAACTGTCTTTCTGAATTCCGATAGGGTTCCCACACTGGGGATCCTTGAGGTGGATTCTGAACTTCATAGGGCTGTAAACCTCGACACACAAGTCACACGAGCGTCTAGGAAATACAAAGACCATCCTCTACACCAACCTTGACGAGTCTCCACAGACCATGCTTACGGAAAGATACAAACAGTTTAGTTGAGGTCTAGTCTAGTTGATCAAGGCGGATTGGTTGAAGGTTGCGGTCATGTCCAAGGGTCAGGGTCAAAGGGTTGCGACGTGAACTTACTCCAACCTGCTGCAACGTTGTACATTCCCACACACATCTGACGGTCACTCCACTTCATGTTTCAGGGATTTATATGTTTAGAATTGGCTTTCAGTAAGGGCAGACTTTGCTCCAGCCATGTATGAACTGCAGCGGAACAGTAGTGGATGCGGTGGTGTTGGGGCATAGAAGTGGTCAGCGGACTCTGGAACCTCCTCTATCTTTCTTGCCCGAAGCTTGTGGCGGACTTGCTCTGCAGATCAACGAAGCTTTCGTACAATATTGCTTTCCGGGGAAGTCTTGACCGTCGGAGTTGAAGAACTGTAAACGACAGCACCTAATTACGGCCCCAATTTGCGGTTGACACCGCAACACCAGCAACTTAGTTGGATCTTTGCTACCCTATACCCAACTATAAACCCCAACCCAGAGCATCCCCAGAGATCTTGCACATTTCGGAGTGCAGACGGTGTTCTTGCGAAGCTTCGGTAGAGGCTCTACGAGACTGAGACCCATATGCAGCGGAACGGCCTGTGAGATAAAGGGGAAGCGAAGCGCCGAGACCAGCGGGCTACACCTAGCAACGCGAGAGGCGAACACACTTTGTTAAAAGATAGCGCCTGGTAAGGTACCCAAAATCCTCAACCCGAAAGCCCAGTGCAATCTAATTTGTTCGACTTGTCTGCGGAAAGAAACGGAAACAAGCTTTAACAATAATATCTCAAGCCTCAAATACTGTATAACGAACCCTTGATCCCCGAACCCTTAACAAGCCCTTTTGGAGCCCTTCAGGAGCGCTTATAGGCTCTTACATAAAGTCCTTTCCGGAACCCTTTCCCCAACAATTTCCAACAGGCTCCGGCAAGACCTTAGTGGCCGAGCTGGCAATCCTCGAAGCACTCAGGCAGACGACGGATACGATTGACGTAATTAGAACAAGGGTTTTGTTCGAGAAGGAAACTTCAGGAATAAGCTTATCAGCCTTTGACAGTAGGGCCAGCGGTTGATGGGTCGGGGTTTGGGGTTCTTGGCGGTATTTCTGCTTGAAGTGCTTCCGGGAACAACGGCAAGGATGTGATTGTGGAGTTTGAACACATACATGAGACTCACTGCGGCCTTACGGCTCGATATTCAACTCCGGACACCGAGGACATCGGAATTCAGATGATGCTAATCCAATTTTGGCATTGTCCGAGCGCGAAAGCATAGACCCGAAGAAGTTCGAAGAGTAGCCATGGAGGAGACAATATGAATCCGGGCCTGCCTTGAGCGAGTGCGCCTTAGTGAAAGGATATTTTTTAATTGTGGCAAGGGGGTGAATGATTCTCTGCGGAATAAAAATTATATACACACATACACAGACACCTATGTTTGTTGATTGCGGCTGGGGCTGCCTTTTGTCGCACGGACTTCCTTATGCGAAGAGGCTCCACCCCAGCAAGCACGTCGCCTTCATGGTGTGATTGCCTCGGCGATGGTGCATTGGGATTTCGATGGCTGAAAAATTGTAGTTAGTTTCAAGACCGTGGCAAGATCCTGGGTCCTGTTGTGGAAGCTACACCGGAAAGAGGCCCGTCTATGCAACACGTCTAAGGACCGCTTCACGGCTCCTGGCTCACCAACAGTGGACCGGGCCTCAGTGGGCTAGCACTGTAGCCTCGTGATCCACAGCCGTCCAACAAAAGCGGGAAAAATTCGGTGATGTCTACCCTGAAGCCTAAAAACTAGGCAGATGACAGATTGCCGTCGGCAGTAGGCGACCCGACACCCGAGGATGCGAGTGAAGGCGACATTGCATGAAGCAGATCCTGGTGCAGCGGCTTGCTTAGATGCTTCTTGCTTAGGGTCCGGGATTGAGGGCTCACCTGTATCCGGCCATGTAGTTCTTTGTGATTAACCAACTCTTTGCATCAAGCCGGATGGCGTTAACAATGCCGAGTAATAATTTGAAAGGGAACTATCACTGGAAAGTTTTGGTATGGTTCGGGTTTTTCCAGGATCTAGAAGTTATGTGATTGGTGAGATTTCACGCGTGGTTCATGCGGCAAGTCTCTGGTCACTGAGACGGCTCTTTGGATGTTGTCATCCTTTAATAAAGATCTACAGAACGACATACCTAGTTTCCCCATTTCACCGCCTGTTCTACCTAGTTTCCTCCATTAAATGAAGGGTTTTGTTGACGGCCCCCGGTCTTCTGGACCTCTGGGCCTTGACCATGTCAAGGGCTGGGAGCCTTTCTGGGCTTTGGGGTTTGGCGCCTTTGTGGGTTTTGTCGGGCTGTACTATAGGGTCTTAGTATGCGGGTTCAGGGTCTTTAGGTAGGTTAAAGGGCTTTACACAAGGTTCGGGGTTTAGGCCTTATAAGTGGTCCCTGCGAGTTTTTTGAGCAAGGTATGGAAGTGCAGTCATGAGAGCACCTTGAGGCGATTGCACAAGTCCCGATGCAGAAAGGGCCTGTAAGGCGGTACAAAGGCTTTGTCAGGGCTTGCAAACATTTTTCTAAGGGCTTTGCAAGGAATTTAAGGGACTAGACAAGAGCTTCAAAAAGATAGGGTTGCAGAACAGACGGGTACCATATCGCTTTGCCTGCAGCCGTCGCCTGCAACTCCAGGAATGCGCAGAACTCACGGGCTTCACAGCGAGTGGCTGGGGTCCAAAGGAGTATGCCAGCGTGCTGCGGGCAAAGGCGCGTAATAACTTGACATTAACGCTCCATCTCAGGGTACTGGGGCTGGTTTTGTTCTACGGTTCAAGCTTTGCACTTCAATGATAGCGGGTTTTCCCTAGGGTTTCGGGTCACTTCTCGGAGTTATGGTTGGAGTACTGAAGAGCTTTTGCTCGAGCAAAAAAGGGGTGCTATAGTGGCAATACGAAACGATGCTCAGAGCATCCCATGTGAAAAGGCCGGTAGGCTGGCGGCGAAAAAGGCTCATGTTTGTAAGATCCGGGCAGTGCGCATCCAGGGGACGACCTAAGCACGGCTACAGTAGACTTGCAACCTTATTGTAATCTTCGTTATGCCTGCACTGTGCTGTGATGTAGCATGCAACCGAAGTCCTAAGCTGATAACTCCACCACCCGGGCACTGTTAAGACAATCCTCTCAACAAATCCATGCCGCAACTCTCACAACATGCCAACATAAAATTCGGGTTCTATGAGGCTTGCAGTTGGAGTCTTGATGGTGCTTTGCACGACTCTACAACTCCGCTATAGTTGGAAACCGGAAACCTGCTTGGGTAGGGGAGCCATCGACGAACCGGGCTCAGCTAGCAATTGTTCTGTTTCAGCCCAAGACAGGTTCGTAACTCCGTTTATGGCGGTGATCTTTGAGCAGGTTCGAGACGACAAGCAGGTTTTCTTCAAGCGAGAAGATCTCCCACCCCTCCTTCCACAGGTGTTGGTTGGGACTGTCGAGACCTTTACCAAAGCTTTCATAGACCACGGTCGTTGCCTTAGCACAGAGGCACAGACTTCTTGTCTTCGGAGAGCCCATGTGCTTATCTCTGCAAGAGTGCCGGTCCAACTGTACTGCCAAAACGTCTCCAGCTGGTACAAGGCTGCTTTTCAATTTGCTTTCGTTTTTCCTCTTCGGCTGTGTCCCTAGACCCCGAATACCCCGACACCCGAAACCTTCCCCCGTTCCAGGCTTCTTCCGCTTCGAAGACTTTTCCCTCTTCGTGCTGGATGAGTGTCACGAGGCCGTGGAAGAAACAGATTTCATGGGCTTACTTGGCGGGCCTATCTTTAGTTCGTTTCTTGAAGCATCACCGAGCTTGTGAAGGCCCAAGGTGTTTCGCACGAGTCTGTGGAAATAGCCTTGACAGCTGGAGTACTACTGCCTCAGGGCCTTCAGAGTTGAGGGTTCAGCGCCTTTAGCTGTTTTGTCGGAGCCCATTGCTGGCGTTGGCCTTATGCCGACTATGTTGGTGAAACATCAGCAGCTTGTTGTTCCTGTGTTCAACCCCGGTGTCGTTGCAACGTATGCGAGGGCACAGGGAGAGACATGCGCTGTGTCGCCCTGCGACTCTAGGCCACCTACGCATTTGTAACTCGTAATTTCTTATTTCTTGGCTTCGACATTGTCCTAAATCCCGAAACGAAATCCTAAATGCTAAAGCCGTAAAATCGCGCATGCGGTTTTTAGACTTGTTCGCAGTCTTGTCGTGCAGCCAATCAGTTCGATCCTGCTTTTCAGGGTACTGAGGATAGGAACCATTTCCCTTAGACAGCTGTTGCAAGCCTTCAAAGGAAGGCCGAGGGGGAATTCCTGAGCTCGAAACTTGACGAAGGCCAAGGGGGAATCTCCGGCAGCCGAACTCCTCTGGCGGCTTCACCGTCAGGAGATGCTTCGGGTTAGGAGATTAGGATTTGGGGGTTCAGGGTTTGAAGTCTCAAGGGTGGATGTAACAGTTGAGGGTTCAAGGTTCAGGGCTGTTTAGGAATCATATTGCTAGAGGCACTTCACAGAGACCTCGTTCAAAAAGAGCTGTTTAGTGTCCCTGCAGCATTCTACAGTCTGTTGTATGGAAGCAAACCAAGATAGACCTGGGAGCATAGTCATACCCACAGACAGGAACTAATGAGTATGTACTGGCACGAACGCATGCATGCGCATGTGTGTGCATTTGGCACATGCGCAAGTAGTTGTGTAAGGTCATGTACAGATGTAAACATGCGGGGTTCAATTACTAGTCATGCGCGAGACAGACTTAGATGTAGATGTGCTGCAGGTATGTGCATGCGACGTTGTATACCTATACAATAGATAGATATAGATATATATATATATATATATAGATATAGATATAGATATAGATATAGATATAGATATAGATAGATAGCTAGATAGATAGACTGTACTCCTTTCTGCGCATGAGTTCAGGCAGGCTTGTACACTCTGCCAAAGCCAAAGCCTGCAAATGTTTATGCATGCGCATGTCACTTCTCACATATATGCATGCGTTAGTCATGTGTTACTTATATCCGGTGCGCCCCATGCCCCATGCAATCGGCATGTGAGGTGTTGAAGGGGTCGAGTTTCCGACAGGGGCCCCATAGGGGGCGGGGGTAGTGAGTCGAAACAAGAAAAGAGTCGCGGCTTAGAGCTCACGGCTCGGGCCCGAAGCCGTAAACCCTAAACTGGCCTTAAACCGCAGCCTGAAACCTCCTCAATTAAAACCCAAAACCTTTGACCAGGACGGCTGCAACAGCTTGGAGCCCCATCCAACTGTCCGGGCCGATGGGCATGAAGACGGGTTTGCTGTCGGGTTTGGTTAGTGTTATGGTTTGATTCGATAGGGATCTCTCTAGGGATCCCAATATTTAAGCGTAATTACAAAGACCAAGCTAGGCATGTAAAGAAGTTTACTTGCCGACTATTCCGACCCCGGCGCCCCCTTCCCATATTGCAGCAATGGCATTCAATACACACGGTTCGGACAGAGGACGAGGGCCAGGGAACAAAGGATTTTCAACAAAGGCTCTTGGAAGTTTTGGTGCACGCATCATCACCCTCGCCATCGCCACCACTTTACCGTCACCACCACTAGATTCACCGTCGTTGTCACTTTCATTTTCGCCACCATGACCTTCAGAATCTTCAGGATGTTGCTCAGGGGCTTCGTGACAGGAGTGCTCATGACCCGGTCACATTCATCAAATTTCATGAAAATCATGTCCATACAGCCCGTGCTAGCAGCCATTATGCACACGGTAGCGACGATATCGACACGAGCCGGCTTGAGGCTGACGAGTGGTTGGAGGCCAAAAACTAACCCGCAAGGTTCTGAAATCTTACGTAGCCCGTAACTCAACGCCCCAGAACTCCGTCAGACTCCGATTGAAGGTGATGGGACTTACTGCTTCCTTTGCGAGCTGCAAGGCTCGTCGGAGTCATTCTTCGGGCTCCAATACATACTAGGCTGCAACTTTAGCAGTTCAGAGCTTTGGGTTTTGAATATCAGGTTCTGGGTCGCGGATCACTTTTGAATCCTACTGCTTTTGGAGGATTCAGAGAGCTACGTACTTGCAAAATGCTTCGGGCTATATGAGCAAAGTCTCGGGCTTATCTTTTTGTGGGAAGCGTTGCTGCCTCTGCGGGGGCCTTTCCTTTCGTGGCGAGACCCGTGAACACTGCCCTTCCGCGCCGGCAGATGGCGAAATTCAAGCCCTTATAAATTTAAGAACATTAGTTAATCGCTGGGCCCAGCTGCAGATAAACCGCTCCAGCAGAACTCAGCTGGAAAAGGTCCCATGTCCACCCTTGGCCCCAATGTCCAGATCTTGGCTTGCAGGCAAGGTGGTCACAAATGGGGCTTATAATGGGGTCGGGTAATCGATGGGGTAAGTAGCGCTGGAAAGTGTTATGGAAAGTTTTTAGGGGTGTTTTTTTTACTATGGAAGACATGCTCCCGAGCCTGAGTTGCTGCAGGCCTCCCGGAACCCAAAGCCCTAAACCCTAAACCTGCCAGGCTAGCAGCCGAGATGATTTCGCTGTTCTCCGGCAACAACTGCAGGCAACCTGCAGCCATCACATCCGCCGTCTTACTGCTACTGTTCTTGCTGGCGTGGTTGAAGCTAATTCCTCATTAGGATTCCTAGTGTTCGCCTAAGTTTGCGACTGCCTTTACTGATGGAGGTCTTCGGGAGACATCACCGTATCTGAGAACTGGTACCACTGCTCGTTGCATATAGGATTGCAGGATTATCTACCGGTGGGCCTGCTGGAGGGGTGATCGACTTCACAGTGTGCAGAACCAGCAGCTCATGCACAGCACAGCCACAAGTTATCGTCATTATTACCAGTGCTGGTTCCCTAACAAAGGGTTGTTCAAGCATGTCAAGCCGCAGGGTGACTGGACCCCAAGCTCTAAAGTCCTAAACACAGCAAAGATACCCTTGGCAAGCGGCATGCGGAGAGGGCCACCAAAAACTACAGGCAATCTTGACACCGTCATAAGGATAGTTACGTGGTCTATACCAAATTAAGGTACATACGATCGGATATTTTGTTTGCAGCTCGAACCCTTTTGCAGTGGCAGGCCGTGATGCAGTCAAAGATGCACCACGTACCGAGGAGCGCAAGACTTGTGTTTCAGTCTGATGTCTTTAGAAGCGGGGTTGGAGGAATGCATAGTGCAGACGAAACGCTGGGCTTCTTAAGGATTCCGACTACCACCGGGTGGGGGGGGGGGGTAAGAGTTCTTGAACTAGATATCCTTAGACAGGATTTTAAAGCTTTCAGACTCCGACATGTTAGGATCCAGAGCCCTAAGCAAAACCAAACGGATGTTCATACTTCGCTTGTAAAGGATAGGAAGGCTGGGCAGCTGCAGTGAGAGTGGCAGTGCATGCCCGGGTCTGCTTTTTCAATGCGAAGATAGGTAAAGTGGAATGGACTTCAGGGTTTGGTTGGGTTTAGGGCGCTGCATAGGGTTTAAGCAACTAGTAATACTAAAGATGTATGTCTGTATAAGTATATATATATATACACACTATGCAGGCCATAAATATATATGTATATATATATATATATATGTATATATACATACATACATACATACATACATACATACATACATAGATACATACATATATACATACATACATACATGCATACATACATACATACATACATACATATATTCATATATATATATATACAGACATACACACATACAAATGTAGATGCTTACATTTACATTGACACACGTACATACATTCATGCATACATACATGCATACATACATACATACATACATACATACGTACATACACAAATGTATATATATATATATATGTATATGTATATTGATATATTATTATGCATATGCATGTGTACGTGTATATACATATATATATATATACATCTATATGTATGTGTGTATGCATATTATACATATACATACATATATCATGTACAATCATCTATATATAGATACATGCATATGAAAATGTATGTGCGTAAGTATGTATATACATAACAGAATATAACATAGTGTAGTCTAACGCTGAAATATAGTATAATGTAAGGAAATTTCGTGTATTACAGCATTATAAGTTGATGCAATAGAATACCATAACATGTCATACCTTACCATATCATATAGTATAATACCATAATGTCGTTACATATACTATACTACAAAATAACAGATTGTAACATAGCATAATGTAATCAAGGCGATACAGTGTATTATAGTATGGTATACCTGAAAATCATATAATTTTTCCACAATATAGTATAACATAATATACACTCATATATTTAATATAACATGGCTTAATATAATATACTATCATATGTTATAGAGTTCTGATCCGTGCGCAAGTCCTCGGTGTGGAATGTAATTTTTGTTCATAGCATAAACATGTAGTTGAATCAGTGCTCCCCGGACCTTAGCCCGAATGCTGGAAGACCCCGAAGCCTCAAAGCCGAGTTCCTTGTCTCCAGGAGCGAGCTCCCCTCACGCAAGATGCCGTCTTTCCACCGTGTCGAGTGCCACGGCACGTAAAGACAGAAAGCGTGTTCGTGCAAGTATGCTGCGCACTTCTGCGTGGTAAAGCTGGCAGCAGCCATGCATGAGCCTACTCAGTCGTTGGCATCAACTTCACCGCTAGTATCAGCGTGATAGCCACCCTGAGTTCTAAACCGCATGACAGCACGAATATGTGAAGGCGACCTTGGGCAACATCAGGACATTTTGGCCCGGAGGGCTTCGCTTTCCGAGCTTCAGAACTTTAGGCTTGCATTCTCAGGGTCATGTCGGGCTTAACTAGGGTTTGAAAGGGTTGCGGGTACTTACTTCCGAAGAAGGCGGTCTCGGTCGATGCTCTGGCATTGGGGATATCGCTACTCTTCCAGGCAGGAGGAAGCGCAAGCTCTGTGTAGATCAGGGACTGTGGCAAGCATCCCATGACGCCGAGACCCAAACCGTCAAAGACCGGGAACCGCGACGATCGGAAAGATCCTCTTCGAGCTGCTCTAGGTTCTCTAGGTCAACTTGGAGGTTCACGGGTGCTTATTGGTGGGGTTATAAGTAGGGTAGCTATAACTATCACCCATATTTGGGGACTTATGACTTTACTTACAAGTACCCATGAACCTCCAAGAAAGGACCCAAGTTGTCTTTCTACAATTATGCTATGTTCGCAGATTATTGCAGCCCTCCTACGGTTAATTCATCCATCGAAGTCCGAAGGTATGTGAGCAATGCGGGGGCTGAAGCGGCTGAAGCGCTTGCAGGGGAACTGACGAGCGAGATTTGGAAGGCCACCCAGCCCTCCGCGTATGGTGATTCCTGTGCCATGGTTCCGAGGGATGGATTATCACATCTGAAAATCCCTCTTTTGCTGGAGGCAAGCCGCTCACTAGGAGATTGCAACAGAACCCTTAAAGGAATGCTCAAACAGTTGTACAAGCAAAAATCTGGCCGCCTAGGCACCATGTTTCAGATTGAGACTGGAGACCGGCCGTCGGAGAGTGTAGGGTGTGTTGTGAACCCCATAAAGTTGGAGCACGAGATCACCACAATTTCTGCTGTAAGTTGCTATGTTGTGCCTGAAAGGGATGTAGAGTACTCATGCTCCAACCTTTTGGCCCTTTGGCTTCTACTGTACAGTTTCGGATTTTAGGGTCTGTCAGAATGGTTGGCAGTGTTGAAATTGTAGCCGGCCACGGAAGCATCCCGCCTCAGAAGGTCATGACAAGACGTAGAAAGGCCAAGGGCCTAGGGTGCAGAACTTAGTGTTTGGAGCTCTTTAGTAGTTCTCAGGGCTAAGGCTTAGAATAGTATCCAGAATCCCTAAATCCCAAACCCTAAACCCCTAAAATCTTGCCGGGCTTGTCCGAGTGTGCGTGTCAAAAAGCCTCCGAATCTGGCTCCTTCAGGAGCTGCAGCAGCAGGGCGTGACCTGCGACTCTGTTGAGAAAGTCGTTCGCGATCTCGGGGTGCTCTTGCTGGAGCTGGGCAGTGAGGCTCGCCGGGCTCGACTCGCAGGAATTTGGGGGCTTCAGCTCTTGGGATTTAACGTAGGGGCCTTATAAGAATGACCTATTCTATTTTTTTTTTTTGGGGGGGGGTTCCTTATTATGGTTATATAGTATACTATACACCAAAACCCTATTCTAATTATTAAGGCCCCTAACTACATTAGGCTCATAGTTCTAGGGTTTCAGCTGGTATAAGTTGTTCATTGTGTGTGTTTTACGTTTTAACAACCTCGACCCGGTTTGGGTTGCAGTGTCGGATTTAGGGATTTACATCTAAGGCTGAGGTTTCGGGTTGTGGTCGGTTGGTAAGCGCGCACAACATTGCGGAGGATCACATGAGCGCCTACTTACAACTATCCGGCAAACTTCAAGCGCCTGCATGTGGGGTTCTCTTGTATCGGCGCATATTGGAGCTCCCTCCAAGCCTCCTTGTCTACTCGTAGAGTATCGTTTGCTGAGGGCTCAAGTCCAAAGGGTTCCAAGTATCCACGAGCCCACTACAGTACCCGCTACACGACTCAAGCCAGACGCTCAGTCAGGATCCTCAGTTGCCTCAACCCAGAACCGTTGCTTCACGAGAATCCTTCAACTCCAAACTCTAGATCCCGAACAGGAAAACGTAGATCCTATACCCTAAACCCTAAAAACCTCCGATCCGAAGCCGTGCGCTTCATTCCTAACTCCTCGCCTGGACGAAGTGAAACGCCCCGAATGGTAAATCTATACTCCCAAAGCCTTACTTCGAAAAGCAGAGGTCTTCTTGCAGCTGCACTCAGAGCCCCACCCGGAAAACGGCCGAAAAGAGCCTCGCAATTACCAAGTAAATTCGGTGAAGACCTGAGCGGATTTGTCGGAAAAAGGAGCTCCCACCAAGAAAAGCTCCTAAACCTCAACCCAGAGGCCTTCCTCTTTGGCCTAGAGAAATGCGTCGTCGCGCAGCTCTTGGCGCAGATCGAACAGCGGCAAATGATCGCGGAGACTCGGTGCAAAAGGGCTTAATGCATGTATGAGAGGTTTTTATTCGATATATTTGATGGGGTTTGGAACTGAAAACGCCAGGGTGAACGCTCCCACCGAAGCCCCCGAAAAACTGAGCCGGGCCCCCTTTGAAAACACAGCACTTTTCATGCACAGCAGAGTCGGAATGTCAGAAAAAAAGGCCAGCACCCTGTGAGACCAAAGTTAGGTCGCACGTTAACTGAAAGATGGCTTTGACTTGTTTCTGTCGTTAGTGTTATTATTGTCATTATTGTGTTTTCCTGAGACTAAGAAACCTTTGAGGTTTCTTTACCGGCTCTATACTTGAGCGCCCTGAAATACTACCAATCTGTTCCTAAGAACACTGACTACAGTATAAGGATTTGACAAAAAAGCTTTTTTTGGATGCTATGGATTTAATGTAGGGGCCTCAATAATCTTAATAGGGTTCTGGGTTCCTTCATAGTATAATTATCAGAAGGAGCCCTAAGGAATTTTCTTGGTGGGCTTCATGCTTGCAGCCTCCAGGGACAGGGGCCTGAATAGAAGCAAACTGCGTCCCCAACCCGACACCCAGCATCCAAACCTGAAACCCAACACCCACACCGAAACCCTACTATAAAGCCTTTGTAGCCTTTGTGGGTTTTTTGGGTGTGGTGCAAATGCACGACTGGACAAGGCCACCAAGCCTGGCGCAGAGGAGAATGGCATAGCTGCAGCGGTTCGGGCTTGGGTGGAGGTGACTCGGGAGAGGAGTATTAAATTGAGAATGCGAAGGAGCTAAGCCATAATCCCCTAGTCCCTCTACACCCCCAAGCCTCTACACCCCTGAGCCCCTAGACCCCGTTTCGGGTTCAGAGGTTTGGGTTCAGGGGTGAGGTTCAGGGTTCAGGTTTAGGGTCAACTAAGCCCTGAACCCGAAAGCACTTTGGTAGTCTTACTCTGCTATGAACCCAAGAACCTCAACCCAAATCCCAAACCCTGAACCCCAACATGATCATCAACCATGAAAAGCCTTCGGCGAACACACCAAAGAAAGAATCCAGGCCCCGTAAAACACGGTAATGCATGAGCCTTGCTGCTGCGCCTAGCAGCCAGTATGGGTGAGGACGTTTGGGATGTAGGAATGGCCTTGAGGTGCTTCTTTGAGCTCACAACAAAGATCAAGAGCCATCAACGAAACAACAAAAGCCGACAAAGCAAGCAAGATGACACTAGCAACAAAGCCAGAAAACCAACAAAATGACTCAACAGACGTCCCATACACACTTGGGGTTTTCCGGAAAACCCTTCAAAGCCCAAATGCAACCCTCAAACCCTACTTTCTAAACCCTCAACTGTTTTCGTTCCTGAAGGAGCTCACGGCGCAGTTGGCGGTCCTCCAGAGAAGCCTGGCCACCGTCCTCGCCACAGTGAAAGGAAACCCGAAGCTTCGGTCAGCGCCTCAAGTGGGTTTGGTTTAGAGTTCGGTTTAGGGTTTAGGGTTTTCCCCAAGTCCGAGTTGCGAGAGTGTAAACCTGATTCGATCGGGTTCACAGATTCGGGTATTTAGTTCCTTGTGGGACATTAAGGATTAGGGTTCAAGGGTTAGGGTTCAGAAGAAGCGCCCCGCCCCCTCTCCCGAGCTGTAGCTTAATTGCGTATTCGTCCTTTATGCTTCGAAAGCTAGGGTTTGGGATTCGGCTAAGGTGTAGGGCCGTGGCTTCAGTCATGATGGTATTCATTGGGGCCGTGGGTAGAAGTTGACGGCACCTGGTGCAACAATGTCGTGACAACACCCACGGCAACAGTAGTTTGTTTGAATTGGGTTTTAAATGACATGGGTGCAGTTTTCAATTACTTTCGGTGCAGTTTTATGCGTCCTTGACGAGAGGGACTGTTCAGGGTCCCTTGCTCTAAAGCGTCGTCACCTGGCTTGCGTATGCCCTTGTGCTCCAGTGGTAAGGTTTGGGGGTTTGGTCTGTAGTGTTTCGTGCTCAGGAATGAAGCAGACACCGCTCACGAGAAATGAGCTACCCCAAGAATGGAGTCAAGCATGCGTCGGCTTGTTCGTTTTAGATGAGTTGGAATCCCCCATGCAGGTCGACCTTTGGTATTTGATGCAGAAGGTAGCAAGAGTCCTTGACAACACCCAGAACGAAAGCAGCCCTCGATGTATCACATTTGCCAGCTAGCATCTGCTGAGCGTGAGGAGCTTCAATGCTGTCTCCGGCAAAGCACAAGCCCTGCTTGACTGCCTTCGGAAAGAGTTCGCCGATCCCGAACGGGAGGATGTGGGCATGTGCTTTGTCAACGAGGCAAGTTGATTGCAGGTCTGTGCCACGTTGCACTTGCCGCGGTATCATGTCCGTGGTCCTAACGAGACCTTGGCATGTCCCCATACCCCACCATGCTTTACCTTGTTCGTAGCTAGGTATGTCGTTTCGCAGTCTTTGGAGTGAAGCCGCCTTTTTTAGCAATGGGCCGTGGTCTTGCGCGGTCATGCCACAACACCTTTGACAGGCATGTTTGAGCCTTCCGCTCGCGTACCTTGTGAAGACCGTCTTGGGGATAGACACCGCTGCCGTATCGGGCACGAAGGCAATGCCAGAAAAAACGCGCGCCTTGGCTAAGCTTGTGGATGAAGTGGGCCTGTCGGGGATGGTAGCGGATTGTAGAATAGTAAGCCGAGTCGGTTCTCACAGCTTTGGGAGTTGTATGGAATGCATCGCCGCTCGTCAGTCCTGCTCTCCAAGGAAACGATGCCTTCCAAGCATTCGCAAACCGCGGTGCGTGCAAACTGCTGGTGGCCACGAGGTGTGCAGAAGAAGGCCTGGACGTGGCAGACTGCACCGGGCTCAGTCTTCTTCTGACACAAGCAGTGACATGAAGCCAGTGAGTTGACGTCGAGTTCCGCACAAAAACTGCTGGTTGCCTTCATCTTGCAGTCACGCACAGATATCTACATCTAGAGTTTGTTTCTATAGCTACGATATGTATTAATATATATATATATATTGTACATACATACATACATACATACATACATACATACATACATACATATATATATATATATATCGTGTATCATGTATATATATATATATATATATATATTTGTATATCCACACATGCACACACACACACACAGAGACGTGCGTATGCACGAATACAAAAAACTGCCACCCATGCCTCCCAGGCTCTTTCGTGGTCCGCTTCAGCCGATTCCACACAACTCGCAACCACATTCAAGGTGTCGGTCGCGCACGGGCGTCGGAGGCGAAGGTGTCCCGGACCAGATTTGAGTGTGGGGTTGCAGGTGTTTAGGGTTGGGATTACCAACGACTTGTTATGATCCTTTGTTGTTGTCAGATTGCCGATTGCGTCTTTGCTTCCTGGGATTTGATGTTGTCGAACAATCGGGGGGATCCCTGCCGCACATTCCTTTGCACCAATGCCGTGCCCATCATTTTGTTATGGTTAAGAAGACTCACATTTGTTCCTGTGTGATTGTACATTTGTAAAAGTATTGTCGGAGAGGAACTAAGATATCTGATAGCACGGCCCAGAAACACCAGGTCTACTACATTGAGAACGATCCACTGGAAGAGTGCAGCAAGGAGGAGATGATGTACGATGTCGCAGCCTACCCGGACGTGATCCCATCCATGTTGTCCACTGTGCCGCCGCACCGACGCGTTCCTGTGCTGGAAACTTTTCGGAGCATGAAGCACTACACAGAATGCACCCAGAGGACGTCTTTAGCCTCGAGCGCAGCGAATATGTGCACAGTGGGTATGAAGATAAGAACAACCGAACCGTGCAATCTTGACCTCGACCCTCCAAGGAATTGAGCCCTAGACGCCATGCTGACCAAAAGCCGCCCGAAGCATCTATCAGCTCGAATCCCCTCTTGAAGGACTTTTGTCCCCACTGTAATGCAGATTAAACAACCTGACGAAACCCTTTAAGCACCTAGAAAAGCGATATAAGACCATATAAACCCCTTAAAGACCCCTCCGGCAAGGTTTGGGAGGGTCTGCACCCGTACATCATCCCGGAGAGCCTTGCAGAGGTCTGTCGGGGCCCAGCTTCCACCGCTGTCAGAGATTTACAGCATGGGAGGGTCTAAGGTTTAGGGGTTTTTAGGGTTTTAGGGTTTAGGGGCTATCCACCAAATCCAGGTGTAAAGAAGCGGGTTCCTGTAAAGATCCTACAAAGGGGTTTCCTCCGAGGGGTGTGGGGTGCAGGATTCCTTACAAAGCTCATCACAAGGGTTCGAAAGGTTCATATATTGCCAGATAACAGGTTTAGGGTGTAGGGTTCGGGTTTAGGTTCAGGCCGCTGAAACTTCAACCCTCTTCCCGAAATCCGAAAGCTCAAACACTTGGTGTATGGTTTGATCATCTCACCTTCAGCCTGCATCGTTCGTTACTTTGATCTTCGGCAATCCTAATACGTCCTTAGCTCTACAGTCTACAGCTCCTTAAACTTCAACCTGCCGTAGCTCTGATACTGAGCAGTGAAGCAGGTAAGCAGAGTGGAAAAATCATCAACCACAGTATCGCAACAATGACTGGTATAGAATTTAGCGACAACCTCTGGCAGCATACGAACAGGTTTACCAACATTAACCGCAGGAAGATATATACTGCTAGTAGCCGTAGCCGAAATGGCCAGCTAATCACAAGATGAGAAGAGTTATGTTGCCGAGCCCATGGGAGCGTGCGCCGCCTTGAGCACATCTGCCCAAACAATTTTGCCGCCCCTGAACATCAAGGCCCTAAGCCATGAAGCCTAAATCCTCAACCCAGCAGCTTGGAAGCCTGCACTGGCTGAGCGCTGGACCTCAGTGGGAGCCTCAAACCTAAGCCCTGCAAGGTGAACCTGAAAAATGCCACCTCGATTCTGTCAGAGTATGTTGCTACAACTACATCGGGGAAGGTCCAGCTAAAGCAGCTACTTGGCACAGTGTAGCTGCGGTGGGCTAAAAAATCTGACACCCTGAGACCCCAGACCAAAAACTTTGTCGGCTGGGAGGGCGGGAACAGCCCACAAGCTCTTCAGTTGTGCATAGGGTGAGTGACAGATCGTAAATCAAGCCTTCTCCCTCCGAATGTTTGGGGCCGTTTAAGGGATGGGGCGATGAATCCGGGATCTACCCATAGGCCGACCCCAAAAAGGAACTATGGGGCCTATGGGTACACGCAGAAGAACCTAGACTTGAAGCCGAGGCTCCATGGCGATTCGCACTTTTGCCTTCCCGGCCCGCGGGGGTGGCTGAAGATTCCCATGGTGGAGGCGGCTGCGTATAGCCTCCGTCGAGCCATAAACTGGACCATAAACCCTACAAGCATCGGTAGTTTTAGGGTTTCGAGATGTTTTGGGGCTCTGGGCAGCACCGAAGGTTCACCTCAGATTGTCGAGGGAAGCCTGACTGCGGCAGAACGGGATGTTCAGCGTTTTGCACCTTGACCTTGATCTCTTGCTTTAGGGTGTACGGTGCAATTCGTGCAGGTGTGATGCCGCACCACGCGTGATTCAAAGGATTTAATGCCCTTAACTGGGAAACCTTAAATCCTGAGGCTCCACACACTCTCAAAACGAATTACTTATTATAGAACCCCAACAGGGGAGCCGGCAGGGTTCCCTGAAAAGGAACCGTCGTAAACCAGGTCGAGCGGTTCTTTCCGAAAGAGCGAGATGTCAAGCCGACCGCTGTTTCTTACTACGTGGGTGTCCTGGTTCTTCATTGCCGGGGCCGCTCGGAAGAACAGAGACCCCAAGAAAACCCCAAAAATCTCATGCTCAAGTATGTTGCACACGCCTGTAACAGGCCCATCTATTTATTGATTTATCTATCTATATACATATCTGCGTGAGGGATCCTGGTCAGGTCTATGAGGCATAGCCCCATAATGAGGGCGTTTGGATGTCCTTGGGATCTCGGGATGCGCCGACCCGGGGCTCGGCTTTCTTTGAGCGCGAAGAGTTCGGCCAAAGCCGTGGCGAGATCAGCACAAGGGTAATTCTTCGAGATGGGGCAGTTAGGGTCCCTTTCGGGGTCCCTTTTGTAAAAGTGTGCCGCACTACTTGGGGACCGAGTTTAGCGAAGTACGGGTCGGTTTGGGACTGATGAGAACACAGGTATCCACGCAAGACTGCAGCATTGACCACGAACCCTAACTTGAAACCGCAAACTCCAAATCGGGAATTGCACCAAGGGGACCCACAACCCCAAATCAATGATCCAGATCCCTACTCCTTATCGAGAAGGATCCGCCGTGGACTTAGTATGCGGTGGGGCAATCTCATAAAGCCTCGTACGCAGCAGATGCCCTTTTGTCCACCGGACGTAGCAATGCCTGTTTCTACCAGCCTCGATTCTACTGCACCGTATGGCCCGAAACCCACTGTTGAATCCGCACGACCTGTCAGTCCAGATTACAGAACCATGGAACTACCCCCGTAACATGCGGTTAAGTCGTGTAGGCCCCGGGATACCTATTTATAGATCATTCGAAGCATTGCAAGAAATCATGATACGGCAATCATAATCAGAGGTACAGATTACGATACCTGAAGTGTCCAGCGACTTGTGCACATAGCCTTGTCTGGGCGGGTGGATCAGAATCCCCGTATACAGCCAAAGAGTAGCATTTAACAGAATTCGAGGCTGCTGGGCCATTAAAGATACTGGCAACATCAGACTCATCACATCTAAGAAGAGTGACCATGGTCGTAATATATTGCACTTCAGGCTGTAAGCCTGTCAGAGCCTTGCATCTATTTCGCAGACGCGTCTAGTGCTCATCCCCGGAAAGGCTGGCTGGACGAGCACAACTGTGTCACCAAACGCGTCAGTAGAGCGAGCCAAGAAGCTGCTTGCCTTTGTGAGACCTGGTTGCTGTCGTTAGGAGGTGCTTGGGGTGTTCAGGGTCAGAGGGTTTAAGTAAGAGAGACAGAATCAGAGGGAGAGCGAGACAGAGAATGATAGGGGTTGGGAAGGTTTGCGGCTTTTCGAAGCCCATTGCTTGAAACGAAGGACACGGCAAAGAAGGATATGTAAGAAGTTTGCGTGAGCTTCGCAATCGTGGAAGGAGGAGGGGCTCAGGCTCCACGGGGCCGTAAATCCGAAAGCATTCACCCCGATTCAGCCCACAGCCTAAGCCTAAGCTACAGACCCTCAAGCCCTAATCATCCTAATCCTAGCACAATCAGCTCAACTCTCACCTCTCGACCGTCTCGACCCATATTTATGAGGTTTTGCTGAATCGGGCAAGAGATGATGCCTTTTTGAAAGCAGGAGACGATGCATTAACTCATAATTTGTATGTTGATAAAAATCTTGCGTGCTGGAGAGGATCAACCATGCAGGTCAAGGAATGCTGCATCGGCAGAGCAGTGTGATGGAAGAGATGCAGCATGAATGCAAATTGCAGCACATGGCAATGTACAGTGCAGTCGATGCGACTGAGAGAGGCTTGTAGTGGTGCTTGTGGAGTGCAACAACACGCAGATACTCCTCCGGACCTTTCTGGAACTTTCCAGGAGTTGGAAGAGAGATTTGCCTGATGACTGAGACTTAAAGTTGTTCTTGGTCCTTTCTACAATCGACGCGTGAAGCTGGATGAGCTTGTCATCTTTCAAACGTTCTTGCAGTTACCCAGCACTACAAAAGGAAACTAACGCTGAAGCGCGAAAACCCCAACCCAGACTGGCCACGGTTCAGGTTGCGTGGCCAGAGCCGGAGGGGGAGCCGGAGACCATTTCTCTTGGACCCATGGTATTCCCGAAGGGTCTCCTCGGGAATCTGGGCGGCTATTGGAAGGTGTTGTGGTTCATTTTCCTGGTGGTCTCCCTGAACTTGTCCATGGAACACGTGTCTAGTTGGGAGACTTGTTAATCTCTCGTATGACTTCTGGAAAGAGGGGCCTGGTCATACCGTATTGTGAGGGTTTCTGGGCGACAGCGAAGGAATCTGCCTTCCAGCGACGCCCTTGCGCAGCCCTTCAGCTAGCATTAGCGTTGTTGTTTGGTTGCTTTTTTAGGTTTTGCATTGGCGATGCAGCCGCGCATCTAAACGCGAGGGATGCGTGAACCAGGCGATTTGATTTTGTGTCTAACGGGCGTAGAGGAAGCATCGTCCCTGAATGTCCCCAATCAATCCCTGTACACTGCAAGAGAAACGAATCCTTCAACCACTACTGCAACTGCCCTCATCAGCAGGATGACATGAATGCCCTGCCCTACTTGCAGAATTGAGGGTCTGAGTAAGAAGGATATACGCATTAGATGAGAAGGGCAACCTGGATTTTGGGTTTCGATTTCTTATAACGATGCAACATTGTATATTCTACTTGCCAGGTCCTATGTCCTATGGCCATTCAAGTTTAGGTGGGAAGTTCGGGCCTGGCCTTCCACCCCACGCCTCTCTTGCGGAGCAGTCGGACACAAGCGAAGTTCGGAAAGACGTATTGCGCTCGAATCCTCCGGCGCTTTCGTGGACAGCAGCTGGAGTTGAAGGATAGTCAAACATCGGGGGGCCATGGGGGGCATGGCTTTCTGGAGGGCAGAGGACAGGCTGCAGCTCATGGTGAGCATGTCTTCGCAACAGCATGCAGCAAAGACCTTCCGAGTCATAGGTAGCAGGTCGCAGCAACTACTAACTACTGCTGCTGTTGCTGCTGCTGCGACTCCTCACTCCCACTCCTACTCCATCCACGCCTACTCCTAGCTGTGCAGGTTTCAGCAGCGCGGCAGGGAGACCAGACGGCAGCACGAGGCTAGCGGCGCGGAGCAAGTCGTCATCGGCCAGCGATGGCTCCAGGTGGATGCCGTCTACAACACACAGGCTCGGCAAGGTCGGGGTTTAGGTATAAGGGTTTTGCCAGGATGTGCTGCTTCACTACTTTTTCGTTGTTTCGCGTCTCGCTTCAGAGGTCTATCACGTGGGTGGGACTTGGTACACATATGGAGCCTGTTACATCTTAGCAAAGTCGTGGGAAGGCCACCCTGCACGTGTTCAGTTTCAAAGTCTGGTCTCGGTCACTTCATTCGGCTTAGCAGTTGTTTTCGAACCAGCAATCGGAAATCTGGAGCCCCGGCCAGGAGACCGTCAACAAGACTTTCACTGATGGGCGAAGCGTCTGGCAGGGTCTCAAGGAGCTGGCACGCCGCGAGGTGGGACTTGGCCATGATAAGAACGATAGTGCCCATCACAGTAGTAACAACAAGAACAGGAGCATTCAGATCAGGAATACCGATCATAAGATGTTCCAGCAAGGAAACGTAGAGGAGTGAGTACCTGGTCAGAACTGGGTCACAGTTGGGTTGTTCGAGTTCGGGCAATCGTGGAAAGAGTGTGGCGTCTATGGTTGACTTGATTTGCGCACAACTGCGAACCTGCAGGCCTTGTTCTCCTGAAGGCATCAGTCGGACGAGACGTAATAAACCCAGATCTAAATGATTCTGGCATGGCCCTGTCACACAACCAATACTAGGCAAGCACAGCCCAACCTGAAAACGGCGAACGAGGTGGCCTTCGGGGACATCACGAGAATCAGGCCGGTGCACGACTTTGTGCTGGCAATCAGTGCCTGTTACACTCAGATTAAGCATTCGCTTATTATACTACTCTCATCTGCTGCTGCTGCTGCTGCTGCTGCTGCTGCTGCTGCTGCTGCTGCTGCTGCTGCTGTGTTTTGCCTTCTTCAACATGCTGAAAGTCAAGAATACAAGGTTCGAGGATCCTGACGCATGAAGGCTTTATGCGCATGCGCAAATGCAAAGCAAAGCCAACATCACATTTCCTATGAAGGGCTGAAGATAAAGCTTCAATGTCCTGAGTTGTTGCATTGTCTGGCTTAGTTGATCTTGTGGGAGGGTATGAAAGGTAAAATCACAAGCTCTTAAACCCTAAACGCTGAACCCTAAACTCGTCCGACTGTGAGTGTCAAAACATGCCCTGCCACTTGTAACACAACATCTAGATGCCCAATAGAAGGAGAAAGCAAGAGCCGGAGCCTGAGCGCGCTAAACCCCAACAGTCTAATCTAGGGGTCTTAATGGCTAGATCAGGGATTTTGGGCATTTTGGGGTATATGATACTAGAATATTAGTAAAAGGAACCCCAAAATGCTATTGGTAAGTATTTTAGCCCCCCTGAAAACACGCTAGTGGTCGACCTTTGTGTGTCGTGGGCTCCCCTGCGAGGGTGGCGTTGGGTCCGGACGACTGCTGGTACTCTGCCGACAACCGCCGGCTTTTCAGCATCAAGGCCAGCAGCATTTGTGTGGGGGTTTAGAACTGAATATTGGGAATGTAGAACTTGTCTATCCTTTGGCCAATGAATGGGTTTAGGGTCATGAGTTTGGCATATTATGTACTTTTTTCGTGAAGGCGGTGTGATGCCTCACGTGGCCAGTCGAAGCACAGATTTCGTTGCATGCCTGTTCCAACGGATTATGTTTGCCACCTACTTTCATATTGTCGCCAGCGACTGCTGCCAGGCAGCCAAGTAGAAACTCGATTTTCTCAGAGGGGTCCACCCGTGGATGCGAGCGCAAAAACGGCCCATGCTCTCAAACCCTGGACTCTTTCATGACCGAGAAGCCGACGAAACCGCAAATACTTCAATAAGCAACCTTGAAAAGGAAGCCCCTGCTTGAATTTTACATGCGGCAGAGAAAGACAATAGGCAGATAATGGCAGAACTACGCACAGAGCGAACGAACGAGTGTAAGGGAAGGAAATAAGCAACGATGAGAAAGGATAGAAAAACATAGCAGTAAAATAAATCAAGAAAGGAAAGAAAAGAGTTGGAGAGAGATAGAGAGAATCATGAGGGGTTGTAAGAAGCAGCCCCGTGGTATACTGTTTCCCGCACATGACATGCCCCTGTCGACGAAAACCCACAGACCTGGGACCCTTTCGAAATTAGGGAATGCTCTGTGAGTGAAGGAAGCTTGCCAAAGGACATTTGCCAATGTTCCTTCTAAACTCTGAACCCTCTTTCCGAGGTCGTGGGGCCTCTCATCGGTGTGACAGAGATCCTCGTGGATGAAATCAACTGGACGCCGGCAGCTGGGCGTGTTGTCGGTTCAGTGTTGAAGAGAGATCGCCCGGGTCTCGGGTATAGAGTGCAGTAGTCTTTTGAGTCAACGAGTTCGAACAGGATGTATTCATGCAGTTACGGATACCTGTGTTGAGAAGAGATCACGAGCAGACCGCAAAGCTTTGTTTCAGCCAGTTTCCGACTTGCGACAGTCCACTGAGGAAATGAAGAACAAGCTTGACCAGCACGCGAGGCCGGCGAACTATATCTTATTCAGGGAAAGCCTTACCACCTCCTCTGCAACTACCGCGTGCTTGGGCGAACATTTTGTGTTGGAGGGGGGTGTAGGTGAATGCGCAGCTAGAAGGCATTCAGAGATTTAGATGTGCTGGGGCATGCCTCGTCCGACGGGTGCCTTGAAACTGTAACCGGCCTATGCGCGGGTCTACAGCTTCAACCTCGTTAGCAAAAACACCGCGTCCGAAAAATAACCCGTGTTTTTTCCATCTAGTCTGCCCTTTGAAGGTACGGAGAGGTGTGGCGCACAGATGCTGCTAGCATCAGTCAAGTGCGCAAGCAGCTTGAGGACTTCCGTCGTTAATGCTATCAGAATAATCATGATATCACTCCAACTAGCAGTGGTTTTATCAAAAAACTGCTGACACAGGTCATGATGGTCACAGCAAGAGGAGTCATGAGAAGCAGAATTTAGTATCGTCATCAGTTTGCTCCACTTCGCCTTGGCTTGAGGTGTCTCAGTCTTCTGCTTTGGAGTTCATGGTCTAGTTTATGATGCTTCGGGTGCATAGGGCGTGAGGTTGAATCATGATCGGTTTGGGCTTACAGGGACTTGCTCACGAGGGACCGGGGTGATTCGTGACAGAGTCCAGGTTTACGAGCTCCTCGGCTTGAAGTTCTCGTTCGTCTGTAACAAAAGCACCCTTAACTTACCTTAACGAACCCCTATATAAGCTATAAGCCCTAAACCCTTGGCTTTGTCCCAAACAGCTGGTGGTAATCTTCTCTGGACGCCTGGGGTATTCATTGTTATCGCTACTGCGTCTCGAGGGTGTTGTAATGAGCTGGCTTTGTGGGAAGCCCGAAAGTTCGACTCTGGTGCATCCTCTTAGAAAAAAGCCCCAGTTGTCGAAAAAGGGGATGAAGCTGTGCGTAGCCCATGCAGCCCAAAGAAGCCTCCCTTCTTGGCATAGATCGCAGCCATGTGAGATGGAAAGAAGCCCTGAACCTTAAACCCTTAAGCCCTAAACCCTAAACCCAACCCTAAACCCTAAACCCTAAACCCTAAAAAAAACAACAACCTCGGTTGAGGTGAAGTCCGGGTCCCTGGTCAGGACGAGCTGCAAAACGGCCCCGCCCCTCTCCCGAGCAGCTCCCTCGACCCGAAGTTGATCGCCGCTGAGGAGGAGATCGAAAAGACTAAACGGTATGATCGTGACTAATAGTGTTATGTTATGCCATGTTATCTTATATGTATGTTCATGTCTATGTTACCTTATGTTGTGTTGTGTTATGTAATACTAGTACCATCGGGCAGGATATTGCGTGACATTTCATGATGTTCAGTTGTATCACATGACTTTTATGACATGACATGGTATGACGTGACATGATATGCGGTTTTATAACATCATATCGTAGCAGTCCACAAAAAGGGACATATTAAGGCTCAACTGCTAACACGAGCCCCTTGAAAGGATGTACTTATAACCAAGAATATTTCACGTTGAGCGGTCTTTGGCGAGTATCATCAGAGTGACGTACTCTTTCGGCAACCCCCTCATCACCCGTTTTTGGAACACCCCCCCTGATAGAAACCCTTGATAGGAACCCCTGATAGGAACATCTTATAGGAACCCTAGCCCCTAAACCCCTTAAAGGAACCTCTTGATAAGAACAGCTTACAGGAACCCAAACCCCTAAACCCTTAAATAGGGCTCAAGATGAGCCTTGAAACCCCAGCTGCTGCCTCAAACCTCGCCTGATGTCGTCGAGCGCAGGTGTTGAGAAAAACCCTGAAGTCGGAGCCCTAAGAGATCCAACCCTGAACCCTAAACCCTAAACCGAGGAGATCCTGGGAAAGGCGGCAGACCTGGCAGAGACGGAGGAGCTCGCCTCCGCCACAGCGAGCCCGTCGAGGCAAGGTCGTGTTTTTGTTGTTTTTTTGTGGTTTGTTTTGTGTTCTTTTTCGGTTTAGGGGTCTAGGGAGTCCAAGAAAGGGCTTGTTTTAAGGGGTTAAAGGTGTTCCTGTGTTTGTCTTCGGGTGCTTCAACAAGGGCTCCTTTTTTAAGAGGTCCTAGAAGGGTGTTCCTCACAGGGTCGCTATAAGGATTCTGTTTAATGGATCCTTCAAGATTTGTGTTGGGGTTTAGGGCTGGGGTATCGACCTCGCAAGGTTTCATCGACCTCGCAAGGTTTCAGGGGGTTATCTGCAGTCCAAAAACCTTAAGCTATATGAGGGGACTCTACGAGAAAAATATGCACTGAAATGTAGGTCTTTTGATTGTGTCCGTGGATGGTGCAGGATTTAGAGTAAAATTTAGAGTTCATGGTTGTTGAAGGGTCAGGGTTGCAGGCTTGGAGTTTTCGCAATTCGGGCCTGGTTATGGTTTGCGAGTTTCAGGTTGGATGTCGGGATTCGGGCTGCGGGTTTTGGAGTACCTGCCAGGTTTTCCCTCGCACTCTCGCTTTCCCGCGGGTCGAAGTCGAAAGTACTCTTATCTAAACCCTATAAGCCTTATATAACCCCCGCCGGGTTATCCTTTTCAAAGCTTTCGAACTCCTATATATTAGGCAGCCGCACCGAGCCCGAATGAAACACCTGTGATCGCTCATGCAACGCTTACAACATCGGGCTCTTCAAACAACCGTCGTCCGAACAGCAACACGCTTTCAGAACGCCTGCTAAGCCTCTGGAGCCAGGGAGAGCGCGCCTATCGTCCTGAAGCGGCCGTGCTCTTTTCCTCCGCCGCGGCACCCTCCCAAGGCACATGGGGTTGGCTTTAGGTGATCACAGTTTGGGGTCTAGGGACCGTAGGGATTTGACGGTTTCCGTTTTAGGGTTTGGGGTTTAGGCTTTTGGGGGTGTTGCGGCTTGGGGCTTTCGGGCTTTCAGGTTTTAGGATTGAAGCATTTTTTAGGGTTTAGGGCGTAAATATTTGGACTATTGTCTTGGGACCTTTCTACCTGAAATATGCAGGTGCCGACAGGTTTTGGCAGGCCTTTTGGTGCTGATAGGTGCTCAATTGAATCTAGGCCCAAGATCTGCATCCCTTAGATTCCTATCCCGAGGCCCAACACCGTCAAGCATGGTTTCAATCTCAAGCCTAAGCCCCAATCCTTCTCTTCAAGCCGAAGAACCCATGGTTCCTAGATCCGAGGATGATCCGGGTCGTCAAACTTATGAACTCCCTGAGCCCGAAGGCCCACTAGATCCAAATGTCAATCCGAACCTCGCGTATCTCCATAGGAGTCTTCGGAGGTCCTTACAAGATGCACCCCTCTCTCACCTCTGTCCGTATCACATGGGCGCTGCCCCAAGTGCTTGCCAAGTATAGCGTGATCCAGCATGCCCAAGTAATTTCGCAGCAACGTCACTCCCTAAATCAACTCACCACCACGCCTGAATGACATGTTGACCTGCGCCGCCCAACGCCCACTCTTCCGGAAGTGCTTGTTCTGCCCCCGATAAAGCCAACAGATCAACACCTCTGGACACACTTTGGGTTTCGATGAGGACTTCTGGTGAGACGCCACACACGAACATTAGATCCCGGCAGCCCACCTGAGGCTTTCTATGCCCTAAGCACTGAACCGGCAGGGCTGTGACAATCAGCAGTGAGAAAAGGTCCAGTACATGCGCAAGAAGAACCTGTTACTTGAATCCTGAAATTTGAGGGCATACAACAACAAACCCCGTACCCTTATAATGCGATAAGGTGCAGAACACCATCACATAGTATGATATAGCAGGCTATAACATAGTGACATAGTGTAGCACATTCGTAGACTACCGCATTAGGTAGCATGTTTGATGAATCCTGGAAGCATGTGAAGCCAGCAGCGTGAGCACCAGAGGATCCTGGGTCAACACGGCCGATCCCGGAGGACAGGGTTTGGGGTTTGGGGTTTAGGAGTCAGGTAAAAACGAAAAAGCTCAGGGTTTAGTCTGCATGGCATCGGGATTTGGGCGGGTTAGAGCCGATGCCGAAGTGAGGGCACTAGACGAGCTAAGCGGGTATTATAAGAGCACTACAAGGGCATTCTACGGACACACAATTTTATTGTAAGGGCACCCCTTGGCCCCTCGAGGATCAAGCGGCTTCTTCTTCCACAGAGGAGCGTCCAAGGCTGCCCCCTTCGATTCCAGATCCTGCCGATGCAGCTGCTTGCTGAAGAGCTCTAGGGGTTTTAAGCTTCGAGTGTGCTGCAGAAGGGGGATCAGGGCCGTGACTTTGCTCCATCTGTGACTTCGTAACTCCTCTGAAATTCAGTTAGACTCGTATAGACCTTCTATTCCCAACTCATGTTGAGGGAACTACAAGCCAGTTCTGGTGCCTACGGTTTGGGTTTTTGAATCTTGGGGTTTGCCACTTAGGTCTGCACGGCATCGGCTGGTGGTTACGGACTTGGGGTCTTCGTCATAAACGCATTGGCACTTGGTACACGTGTCATCACGTGTCCATGTGCAGGAAGGGAAATTCAGAAGGAAAGCCATGAGACCTTAGCCTTAGCGCGGATCACAGGGGTAGCTTGAGGAGTTGTTGCATGGTCGGCCGTCACAATCGCATTATTTACGTGCGCCTGCGGCCTGCGCACACCGCAATAAAATCTCCCCTCTGCCTTTTTGGGGTTTAGGGTTTAGGGTTTAGGGTACTGGGCTTTGGGTGCAGATCGTTTGCCATTGTTCTGGTTGTGATGGCTGGGCAAAAAACTGCAAGAAGAAGGCACATGTGTAAAAGCTATCGCCGTGATACCGAGCGCAACAGTCCAACGCGTGGCCGAGCTCGACCCATAAAGCCTCAAAGCAGTAAAAACGTCCCTCAACCCCCCAAACTCCGTAAACCGAACCCCCCCAAACCCTGACTACCACCAAAATACCTCTCAACCCCGAAGCTCCTAAATACCTACACCCCTATGGTATCCTAAAGGAACCCTAAACCCTAAACGTGCGACTTTGTCAGCTGGGCGGGTGGGAAAAAAACCGTAAAACCCTACATGGCACCCCTGTGGTACCCTTAGAAAACTCTAAACCCTAAATCCCTATGGTACCCTTAGAGGAACCTAAAACCTACACTCCTGTGGTACCCTTAAACCCTTAAGTTAAACCCTAAACTCTAAACCCTAAACCCTAAACCCTCTTGTGTGGAGCCTTGCCTGCTGCGTGCGAGTGTGAGAGTCGAAACTCTAAACCCTAAACCCATTCCCTTAAAGGAACCTCTGAAAGGAGCCCCTCCCTGCCGTCCGAGTCTGCCGGCCGGCCACCGCCAGAGGAAAGCCAAGGACCTAAGCCGAAAGAGGCGGAGACTTGGGCCATGGAAACTTGAAGAAAGGGTTAGGGTTTGTAGGATTTAGGGTTTTAGGGTTTAGGGTTTAAGTTTAGGGCTTAGGGTTTAGGTTAGGGTTTAGGGTTTAGGGTTAAAGTTAAGGGNNGGTTTAGGGTTTGGGGTTTAGTAGGTCTGGGGCTCTAGGGTTAAGGGTTCAGGCTTAGGTTAGGGCTTATGGGTCTTAGGGCTTCGGATTTTGTTGTTGAAGGGGGTTTAGGGCTTGATGCTGGGAAACCAGGACTTTTGAGCACCGGCCTCAGGATTGTTCCGAATATTGCTTGCTTTGCGGTTTGTGTTGGGGTTTTAACGGCTTTCGTACGGATTTGAAGGGTGTACTACATGGACTTAGAATCAAAGAAGGCCACTAGGAATACACCTCCCGATGGGTAAATATCCCGAACGCCGAACCCTATTGCCCCAATCGCGCTCCTTCCGTCCTGGACATCGGAGATGCTTGAAGACCCAAGGATCAGATCTAGAATCTAGGCTCGGCTCAACATGGACGAACCCTTGAACCTTAAATTCAGACCCCAAAACCACGAGCCACCATCGTCCTAAGGAGCAAAGCCTGGAGCGAAGCTTCATCGAATTCTCGGAGCCCCGCTGCCCAACGGAAAGGCGAGGGGAAGGTGCCAGCAGCGCCATTCCGCTGCCCAAGGTGCCGCCCTTCCCCCAAACGCAAAGACCTCAAGACACCCCGGTAAAACTCAAAGAACGGAAAAGTCCAAACTCCAAAGCCCGAAGACTCAAAACTCCCCCCCCACCCCCCACCCCCNNAAAAAAAAAAAAAAACTCCTTGGGCCCAAGGCGCCTCTTCCTTAACCTTTTACCCGAAAACTCCTAACCCCTTAGGAATCTTCATGAAAAATCCTTGCAGGAAGCCTTTTGAAGAACCTATTGTAAGGGAACCTTCTAAAGCACCTTTTCGGGATTTTCGGGAGTCTTGATAGGCACCCTCCAAACGAACCCTTTTTAAGGGACACTTTTCGAAGCCCTTTGAAGAACCCTCAGGGAGAACCCTAGGGGGGAGCCCTTTTTCTTTTAAGAACCCTCGGAGCCCCTTTCGTTTAAGAACCCCTAGGGGGAGCCCTTTTAAGGAACACCCTCTCGGCAGCCCGGTGAGCCCCTAAACCCTAAGCCCTAAACCCTATAAACCCTAAACCCTATAAACCCTAAACCCTAAACCCTAAACCCTAAACCCCAACCCCCAAACCCTATAAACCCTAAACCCTATAAAGCCTAAACCCTAAACCCCTAAACCCTCTAAGCCCTAAGCCCTAAGCCCCCTTTAAAAAGGCGCCAGCTCCAGTGGGCAGCTGGGGAGTCGCTGCGTCAGCTCCGGAAGTTCCTGGAGGGACACCAGAGCGCTCTCCGCCGAAGCATGAGGTGGGGTTCAGATAGGGGTTTAGGGGTTTAGCGTTGAGGGCTTAAGGTTTAGGGTTTA